TGCTCGCCCAGGCCAGCGCCGATCTCCGGGAATTAAACAAATACATTTGAATAATGGCTGGCAATCAGCAAACAAAACAGAAGACTGATTGCTGGCAATAAAAATGGACCATAAAAAGCGATAACATCATATTTATAAACGAGACGAGGCCCGCCTCGCACGACTCAACAAGCAGCCGCAAGCCGCAGGCCCAACCAGAAAGCGAAAAAAAGACGCACATGGACAAGCCTGAGCCAATATAGGCCCGTGCCCTAGCCCAGGCTCGATATGCTCCCAAGGCGGCGAGCGATGAAAGCGATTATATGCGTAAATATAAAAATGGCGAAAAGACAAATAAACGACAATAAACGGGCGGGCGTGGCAGGCGCGTAAACCAAACGAAGCCCCGCCTACCAAATCCGGCCAGGCGACGGCCGCAAAAGAAACAGTAAAAAAGAAGAAGACAGCAAAAAAAAAAAAAATCAACAACAAAAACATGTCCAGAGCAAAAAGCTGGTCTCATAAAAAGTAAACCGAAAAAAAGGGCAACAAGGGTCAAGGTGCCATCACAGTGGGTCAAAAGAAGCGAAGAGGTAGCAAAAAAAAAAAAAAAAAACACGGGCAAAATCTAGAACAAAATGTACGGATAAAAATTAAATTGTGAGAAGGAGAAGGCGAAGGAGAAAATGAAAGAGAGATAGAAAGAAGGAGAGAAACGAAAACAGAGAGCAAGAGTTAGAAGTTAAGGGACATATAAGAATTACGAGAGGGAGATACTTAGAGAAAAATATAGCAAGAGTGGAATAGAGGACGAAAACAAGGGGTTAAAAAGAGAGGAAGAGCGAGAGAGAGAAAGAGAAAAATATGTAAGGCCAAGGACCGAGACAGAGAGAGATAGAAAGAATGTTTTTCTAAAAATAAACAAATATATGTGTACTATATATTTACATTTAATCAGAAAAACTTTGAAATCTTACTAAAAATTCCTACAAATTTTAATAAATTTGTTTGAATTTAATTTAATTAAATCATTAATTAAATAAATTAAAATCAATTCAATTAAAATATAGTTTGAATTGAAGGCCTCATTAAGGCTCTGATGCTGCCCATAACAATCTCTTGAATTTTGCCAGATTAGTTTATATATTTGCCCCACTGTGCGCCTGCCTTGCGGCCACAGCCTGAGAACGAGCATAAAAACGGAGTAGGCGGCACGTTTGCCATAGAGTTTGCCCTCTTATTGTGTGTGCGTTTTGTTTATGGCGTCCATTTGGTTGGTGCAAGCAGCCGAGATTAGATTCCCTTCTGGCCAAGGTGGACATTCGCAGACAGACAGACATACAGGCGCTCTGTGCATTTGGCGCTGTGTCTTGTGCGCCGGCTACCTCAATGATTTGTCCATTTCCTGGCAGTCGCGTAAATGCGAACGACTCATTTTAGTGCCGGCAAAAAGACGTGCAGATTCGCCATTTGCATTTGCAGTCGAAAAGTAATGGTGGAGTGGGCTTCAGGGGGGCCATGTGGGCTATTCAAATGTTAAGCGGCCCATAAATTTGCCATAAACCTGAGCTGCGCTTTAAATGGCCAGCGAGGCGGCTGAAAGTATGCCGACAATTTGTGTTTACTCGCTTGAAATCAAAAACAAACCAAAAAAAAAATGGAAGAACAAAATTAGAAAAAAAAAATCGCAGTCAAATTTGCTTTGGCGCTGCTTTTTGCCCACTCAACGGAGACGGCTCATTGAAACGGGCGCCGAGTTTTCAGCGCGTTTTTGTTTGCCCAAAGTCCAAAAACCAAAGCAGCAACCGAACGGCACGAAATGCCGCGAAACGGAGCCATGGGCGAGCCTGATAAATTGAATGGTCAGCTGCGTTAGCATAAAAAGCCCTATTCAGTTCCTCTGGCCTTCTTTTTTTCTACTCCTGGCAAAGGTGAGGGGGCCAAGCACACATATGAGCGTCAGATCATGAGTGAGCCAAGCGGACATTGCGCTGACTGATTGCCCGCGAACAGGCGCCAGCAGCAGCCTTAAACTGACAGAGCCAATTGAGCGTATTTGCCAAAAAGGAAAAACAATTTAGAACGGAAAAAATACGAGCGCTCTCCGCTCTTAATTAGGTATCCAATTAGTTGAGTGGAGGCTGAGAATTAAGTAAAATAGAAAAATATATTACAATGATATCATTAATATAAATGAGGTTATAAATTACAAAAACGCAAAAAACTTACTTACATTTTTTATTTAAAAAAAAAAAAAAAATACATCTATTTTAATTATAAATATGTTTTTTTTTTTAAATTAAATTATTAAAAAATAAATTTCGAAATTATATTTCTAAATTATTTTTTTTATCTATATATTTATTACAAAAGCTCTATTTCAATAACATATTTTTTGTATTATAAATACTTTTTTTTTATAAATAAATTTGTATATTCCTGTTATTTATTATATATATATATATATATATATATATATATATATATATATATATATATA